TCTGAATACAGATCAATAGAAATCACTCAAATTGAAAAACAAATGGAAAAAAATGTGAATAAAACAACAGAATAACCAAGGGCTGTGGGACAACATCAAATAGTCTCTTATACACCTAATTAGAATCCCAGAAGAGAAAAAGAAAATAATGTCCAAAAATTCTTCAAAATTAATTAAAGACAGCAAACTAAGTCCAAGATGCTCAGAAAATACCAAGCAAGATAAATTTTAAAAAGCAAATAAGGAGGAAAAAAATGGTAGACGACAGAGGCTCTGTTCATCCCTTGGGCGACCAAATCAAAGTTGTAACAGAAACAAGGAGCAGCAGCAAGGAAAAATCGCCTAGGTTCTAGATGAATAAGCCACACAACTGAGGAGAAATCCAAGAAATGACACTGCATCTGCAGAAGGTAGGACGGGGTGAGGACAAGGGGCTGCCCAATCTCGAGGGGCTGAGTAAGACGGAGGCTGTGGCGGAAGCAGACGCCTCTTAAAGGGCCCACATCTGCGAGCAGATTTTTGTGGTGACAGACCTGCTCGCTCCGAGCACCAATGCCAATTCAGCTGCGCTCAGGGGGCACCAGGGACTTACAGGGAGACATTGCTGGAGTGAGGGCTGAGGCAAGACTTGCTTTGTACAGAAATGCCGGTGGTATCCACTGTTCCCTGTTGAGCCCTCCCCACTACCAGTGTGCCGGACACAGCACCGCCATAGCTGTGACGTCACCAAACTGGATAACAGAGGTCGCTCCACCCAGAGGGTTCCCTGAAACCCTGCCTCTCCAACTCACAGCCCTACCCAAGCCACATCCAGGTACATCCTCAGCAAGTCAGGTGCTCCTTGCTGAGCACTGCCTAGATGCACACTGGAGGCAGCTGGCCTCCGTTTCTGGTGGGGCCTTTTGAGGCAACTATAAGCATAGCATCTGTGGATTGCTTGCTGAATCTTAACAGGTGGCCCTGGAGGGGCACAGGCTTGGGCTAAATTTGACCTGCAGCTGAACCTTCTCAGGACTGTGCCACTGGACACCTACTTCACAAATCCACACTAATAAAACTGGGAGACTTAGGAGCTTTGCTTAGTACATAGAAACAGACATGGAAAGACAGCCAAAATGGAAAGACAAAAAAGCAGAAATCATATGAGAGAACAGAACAGAGATCCACATATAATGGAGTCAAGTAATCTAACAGATGCAGAGTTCAAAACACTGGTTATTCAGATGCTCAATGAACTTTCAGATAAATTCAGTGAGAATTTCAACAAAAAGATAAAAAACATAAAAATGGAAATGGAAATTGTAAAACGGAACCAGTCAGAAATGAAGAACACATTATCTGAGATGAGAAGTATATTAAATGGAATAAACAAAGGAATAAACAAAGGAATAAACAAAGTGAATAAGAAAAGGATCAAATGTTCTATCAAGAGAACAGGAAAGCCAAGGACATGCAATCAGAATGGCAAGAGATAAGATGCCAAGACTATAAAAATAATTTAAGGAGCATATGAGACACTATTAAGGTTACAAATATCCATCTGATCGGTGTAACTGAAGGAAAACAAGATGTTGAACAGCTGCTTAAAGAAATAATGATAGAAAATTTCCCTAATCTGCTGAAGGAAATGGACATAAAACCCCAGGAAGCTCAGAGAATTCCAAAAATCAGGGATCCAAAGAGGCCCACATCATAATTAAAATGCCAAAGGTTAAATACAAAGAAAGAATCTTAAAAACAGCAAGAGAAAAACAGTTACCTACAAGGGAACACCCATAAGACTGGCAGCTGATTTCTTAAAAGAAATATGCAGGACAGAAGGGCTTGGCAAAAAATATTTGACAGGATGAAGACCCAAGATCTACAACCAAGAATACTTTATTCAGTAAAGTTATCATTTAGAGTTGAAGGACAGTAAAAGAGCTTCCCAGACAAAAAGAAGCTTAAGGAATTTATCACCAACAAGTCAATATTACAGGAAATGTTGGAGGGACTTCTTTAGAAGAAAAAGCATGTATCAAAAACAGGAATAAAGAATGATAACAACTACATCCCTATCAATAAGTACCTCAAGTGGAAAAGAATTAAGCACTCCAACTAAAAGATAGAGTGGCTGAATGGATAAGAAAACATACTGCCTAGAAGAGACTCGCTTCAGATTAAAAGACACACTTAGACTAAAAGAAAGGGTATGAAAAAAGATATTGCTTTGATGGACGTAGAAGGTATTTAAGTCAGACAGAGAAAGATAAACAAATATAGTGGACAATTTGGTGATGGACAGAGTGGAGCGGGGCTCGGAGGGGTGAGAGAAGGGGGGGGCGGGGTAAAGA